TAATCACAGATTGCTGGCCGGTCATAACACTAAACTTATAACGATGGGTCTGGGTCGTGACAAAGCATTTGCTCTAAACTATGGTAGCAACACAGCCCGTCTCTCGTAGCATGACTCGTCTTGTACTTTGAACACAAACACAAAGAAAACTAATGTATGAAAAGCATTAGACAATCACAGATAGTAAAATACTTGAAGAGATGAAAGGAACAATTATTAAAAACTTCTAAATCATCCATACATTGATTCAAACCGATTCACAATCAAAGTTTATGAAAAATCCTATTACATGGCTAGGGTTTCATCAAAACCCTAGAAAAGAAGAACCTAGCCACTATTGGAGGAGTGGAAAGAGATGGAAGAGGTGGAAGCCCCCATGAAAGTTCTCTTTGAAGCTTAAGGAAAAATCACCTCTTCAAAACCCTAGCCTTCCTTTTCTTAGAATAATTTTTGAACCCTCTTTCAGTCTCCTCTTTTTCCTTTTATTCCCAGCAGAAGAGCCTTAAAATTTCATGCACGCAACCCCAAGTGGGCCGCTCGAGCGGTGGTGGGCCGCACGTGCGATAAAGCTTGGCCGCACGTGCAGTGGTTTGGCTGGCTCGAATTTTTCACTTCTCGTATGGAGGATCTACTTTTGCGCCCTTTTTGATTGAATTTGCATATTTCTTGCCAAATCTGTACAAGTGCACGAAACACATCATCTCCACCAAATAAACAAAATTGAAAGACTAAAAATATAATTTAAGTAGCCTCAATGTAGTTCCTTCCAGCCGACATCAATAATCAAACCCATAAATATCATAACTTACATATGGTAGAGTGTGTACTACAAAAATGCTAGAGGTCCCAAAAGTTCTATCAAAATTTTTACCAAATGTCTCAAATAGGTGTGAGACTCACATGGGATCCACCCATGTAAGACATTTGATAAAAATTTTGGTAGAACTTTTGGGGTCTGCAGCATTACTCATGTATACTATAGCATTATCTTTTTCTATATTAGGGCTTATATATTTGTTTTTTTTTATATTAGGGCTAAAAATTTTGATAGAATTTTTGAGTCTATAGCATTACTCGTGTGTACTATAGCATTATCTTTTTCTATATTAGGGCTTATATATTTGTTTTTTTATTTTATACTAGTGTTTGCACCACATTTTATTTTTCCGTCGATTGTGACTTATTAATTATTGCCAAGTTCGATTATGATTTGTCGATTAAAATCATAAACTATTTTCAAAGAATAACATTGACTATATTTGTTTTTATTATTATTATTTCTGTCAACGGGCATGCTAATGTGATATGACAGATGTGTTAGGGACGTGACATGATGAGATGTTAAATGGAGTGCCAGAAAGTTAGCAATCGCAACAATTTGAAAGTTAGTTGTTGCGATCAATGAGGCAAGATCAAATCAAGCACCAAATTTGCAAAATGGTTCCTGTCATGGACAATGTTAAGAAAATCATAAACTTGTTGAGGAAATCGTGAGCTTAGGTTATCTCTTTCTCACATGTGGCTGAGCGTATAAATAGGTCAAGAGAGATACAAAGATGAATCAATCATCAACCATCAAACATACTCGTGCAGAGTTATTTATGAGTAGTTCTAAATTAGCTATTTTAAGAGTAGATTAAACAAGTAGCTTTTCAAACCCCCATGTCTCTTCTTTCTATTGGCTGCTGTATTTATTCAAATTTTTTTTGTTCTTGTTTAAGTTCTTGTAACTTGTGGCAAGTGACAATTTATTCGAATTAATACATATTATGTTCTGTTCCATTTATTCTTTATTCAATTACCTCCAGGGAAGTTCTTAATCTATTTAAGGCGTAGAACTCAACCACAAAGTCTGATCTTTTTGTGTTTATTAAAATTGGTTAAAGCCTGTCGATCAATCACAGTCGATTGAGCCTAACTCGAATTTTTGCTAACAACTGAATAAATAATTATTGAAAAATAAGAATTAATTTAATTATTGAAAAATTATGATTGCATTTTGGTCATTTATAAATATATATATATATATATTGAGAACATGAAAAGCAATTAGATTAAAATTAAACAGACAACATACAAATTAAAAAGAAAAATAACAAGACCCTAAAGGGTCAAACAAGCAACCAAACAACAAAAACAAATCCGCCAAAAAATCAGCTATAAGTAAGGAAAAATCACTGAACTTCTCATAGATGTGGTTTGAAAAGTTAGATCTACATCAAACCAAGAAAGATTTGCATCAACACTTGTTGTCGCCGTCGACGTCGTTCCCATTGCCACTATCCAATTTTGCCATTGTCGTCGCTGTACTTCGAACATCACCAGAAGTTAGAGTTAAAGAGAAAGAACACCCACAATGATATGGGAGAAGGGTTGAGAAAAGGGATAATCATTATAGATGTCAAAAATCTAAAAATCTATATCAAAATCGAGAGAGAAAACACTCAAAACTCTTATTCTAGACATAAAAAGCTCAAATTTAAATTTTAGAAGTGTAGATCTATACTCTATAAATATAGATCTATATTTTAAAAATATAAAAGAAGCTACTAAAATATCGCTCGAACACCGTAAAAAATCTCTAGAGAGAAGCTCATGCTCTGTCTTCGGGCCTGTCATTTTTATATTTAAATGCACTAGATAATGCAATAAAAAACACACATTGATTTAGGCATAATGATTGAGACCCCTAGTGGGGGTAACCCCTAGGCGCTGGGGATCACCCCCCACTGGGGGGGTCCCCAACAGTGTTGTTGATTTAGGAACCACAAGATACCTTAATTATCTAATTGAATAAGAATTTTCACAAGCCATTCATATTGACAAGTATAATTTGATTATAGAACTAAGCTTTTAAACCTTTTTTCCTTTGAAATCAAAGAAATTATGTTGCTAAATTAGAACTACACTGTCGATGTAATTTTGGCATATTTTGTAATTTTGCTGCGATTCTATAAAAAGTCAAAATTCTAACATTATTTTTTAACCGTGTGCCTCTAAACATGAATTGTTTCAGTTGACAAAAGTCCAACTCCTATATCAGACTCAAATCTCAGAAGTGTAATATCCATACTTGTATCCAAGGACTAATCAAGATAAAGTCCCAAACACACTCTCACAGAAAAATCCCACCGTCGATGAAATAATACATTAATACATTACGGACTAATAACGAAAAATTAATAGGTGGTTTAGAAGCACTGCATGTCCCTATTTCAAACCAATTATAAATGCGAAGCTCCCTTTGCAGTTTTCTATGCCCCAACACAAAATTATGAACCCTATCCCTTCCAATCACAACCCTCCTAAGGGGGACCATTTGATCATGTCCCAAAACCACTAATTTCTTGCACGCAACTCTTCTCAACTCTGATCAGCACAGACACATCAAAAAGAATCCCACTATTTGTGTTTGTGTAGTTAATGTGATTGTTAAGTCTCTGCAATCACAAAGACTAACCAACACTTCATGACGTGCACAACATATGGAACAGGACAATGGTAGAATGCAGACACAATATGACCCAAGTTTCAATAGCAGTTGGCAAGGTTATCTGACTAGTTGTTGAGCCAATTACCTTTGGCCCTGTCTGTGTCACTGAATATAAAATAGAAGATATAATATGATGTGAAATTTAATCAAGATATATAATGAATAGAATATATGTATTAGATAATATATCCCCCAATTCATGTTTGTTGACTTGATATATAAGACTGGATATATATTATCCATGTCTATTTTACAAAATATACTGTGGGGAGCTTCTATTTGCACATCTCCATTTCATTCTTTGCATACACTTAATGATAATTATTTTTTTATAATTTTATTTCCAAGTGAAATTACTATTATAGGCATCATATACAATTCAAATAAACACATTCGGAAGTTGAATGTCAAAAAAATAAAAAAAAAATCAAAATTCTACTTCCGAACCAATTGTTTATTTTCGAAATACTACTTCCGAACCAATTATTTATTGAAAAATATGTGTATAGAGTGCAATGGGTATGTAGTTCCCTATATTGTGGGATATAAACAAGTAATTTTCAAAATTGCCCTCATAATATTATATTTTATTATATTAAATTAAATTCAATAATATTATATTATATTAAATTCAAAATTTATATTATATTATATTATATTCAAAATTTAAATTAAATAATATTATATTAAATTCAAAATTTATATTAAATTATATTATACTATATTAAATTAAATTCAATAATTCTATTATATTAAATTCAAATATTATATTATATTATATTATATTTTGTTGGATAGACAAGAGGGTGAATTGGACTTTTTAAATCATATCCCAACAAAAGGATATGATATAATGGGAGAATGGTGATATTATATATCCTCAAATTTTGAGGGATATACAATCTCATAATATATTATATTTTCTTTAAAAAAAATTATAAACATGGGATATATACAATCTCCAATCCCACCACTAATATCTGGAATCAAACAGGGCCAGGGGCAATTAGGGTTGGCTTTGTAATTCACAATGGCATTCCAAAAAGAATCATTTTCTTGGGTCATAATGAATTCGAACAAGATCACATTGGTAACCCAAGAAAAACTTAAGGCTTGTTTAGTTTATATTTAAGAAACATGTTTTGAGATAAAAAGTACAAAAATTTATTTAGTTTGATTTTTTTTTAAAAGATGTTTTGAAAAATTATTTTGAGAGAGAGTTTTAAAAAAAGTGATTAATTTGATGTGTATGAGAGAGAGATTTGATTGGAAAACTTGTAGATCAAACAAGTTTTGGAAAAAAAATTTAGAAAAATTTGTTTGGTTTGATTACTTTTAAAAACTTATTTGTAGAGAATTTTTTCCAAAATTTTTTGAGAAACACAATCCAAACAAGGCCATAAGATTCACATGTATTTACCCCAATGATCTCAGAGTTTTCAACACACAAACATGTCAAACCAATCAATTTCACAAAATTCTCATATCAAAATCACGGTAAGAAAGATGTCCACGGTGAAATAATTAGAAAGCTTTATGTAAAATTTTATATATCGATCAGTCATATGCTTCTCTTTTCTTTTTTTATTTGGTAGGTAAAATTTATTAAAAAGGGCGCCAGGGGGGCACCAACCTAGTACCAGTTCAGAGAAATGAACGGACACGCATAAAAAAAAAAAGTAACTAATTTTCAATCTTCTCCCTTCACTTCACTCCCGTCTTTGAAATCAGCTTTAAGAAAAGCGATATTTTGACAAAAGATATCAAACCATTTTGTCCAAGTCCTTCATTTTCTGCTTAACCTATTCCGACAGATCTTTGTCCTCAAGTATATGATCGGTCATATACTTGCAAGGCTACAAATTTCAATTGCAGCCATTTAACATTTCATTGAACAAAATTGATAAGTAGCGAGATTCAAGCATAAAATCATATGACACGAGCTTCATTTTTAAGCTTGTCAACCAACTCGTCCACAGAAGAAACGATAAGCCCTGCTTTTCTCTTAGGCGGTTCAGTAACTTGAACAATCTCCAAGTCGGATTTGATTTTCACATTCAACTCCTCCGGAGTAAATTTTTTAATGACCTTAGATTTTGCTTTCATTATGTTGGGGAGTGTTGCATACCTTGGCTGGTTTAGTCTCAGATCAGTACTGCATGAAAAACATAGTCCATCAGTAATCAATCTCCAAAGAAATTAGGTCAAGTAAATAATGAACACAGAGACAAACGGACAGACATATATGCTAGCTCGTGAAAAAGAAAAAAAAATTTACTAACATTAAAAGAACGCTCACTTTAGTTTCCATTGGTTGGGGGTCTAGGAGAGGTAGATTGGGTATAAACCCAACCTTTGACATAGTTTGCGCAATGTAGGTTTGAACCCACAACCTAAAGGCTAATAGGCCGAGTTTTAACCACTGAACTAATGGCCCCCTATTTTAAAACAAATTATTTAAGTTCTTTAGTATGCGTATCTCACTCAGAAATTTGACTGCTAAAGATACCCAGGTCTTTATCTAAATAAGTATGGTCACATGATCGGGTACCTTTTCAAACCAATGCACAGGATTCTCAGTCTGCATCTATATGGACTTTACGTTAGTAAGCTTGGTTAGTTCTATTTATGTTTTCTTAAGCTGTGTTGAGCCAATAGTATATTGTTAGTTTCAAAACTTTCTAGAACAAACCGTAGGAGTTCTCCATGGGTAACAAAGTTCCGTGGGTTTCCATAGAAGGCTAACAAAAACTAGTCCCTCAAAAAGCTAAGATCTAAGAAACTTTATACAAGAGTTGGATAAGAAAAAAACGTGAATCCTAACAATGAATACATTTATGAACTAACAACCAAAAATGCTTTAGTTTGTCGATCAAATTTACTCTTCTTCAAGCATCCTCCCATCACGTTCCTTACTAATGCACAAATTAGACATAAAGCCACAGCCTATAGCTCCTACCAGCCATATCCTAACACATCCACCCTACCAATGTTCCGATCTCACAAAAATAACTTACTCATCAACCATTGTATGCTAAAGAGTGAGAAAAGGAAGCACTGCAGTTATAGCTCTTATGCTCCTACAACATACAACACCAATTAAGCAGCATATTACCTTTTTTCCCATAATTATCTACCATTAGAATTGCCTCAAAAGTCGATGACCATGCAGTTAAAGAACCCTCGGAAGACAACCTCACTCATCAAATATTTTACCATGAAACCTTATCCCCTACACATTAATTTATACAATTTTTTAATACACATTTTTTCATAAAAGTCAAAAAGTTAACCCAACCATTCATATTTTCAACCTCAACTTTTTAGTCTAAAAAGACAAAAAGTGCACTTATTTAGGACACCCCAAACAACCCCTAAACTACCAAACCTCAGGATCCTCCAACTCAAAATGTCCTGCCCAACAACATATAATAAGAGATTTATGAGATCAAACACACATAAATATTCCTTTATTTATTTTAGTAATTAGTTTTACAAACTATACTTTAGGAAGTGTGATTGAGATTGTCTTCCATAGTTTTCCATGGATTAGTTATAGGATTTCATACTTCTGTTATATTTGTTAACTAGCGGAAACAATCCATGGAAAACAGCAAAAAGAGAAAGAACAAAAAACTTCACAATTTTCAATCTTGCTACATAGATGGAAAAGTGTTCCAGTGCTATAACATGCATGCGTGCACACACAGCAGAGTAAAAAAAGAGAATGTATGAATTACAACATATATATTTCTAGACTACCTTAGCATTCCGAAAATTAAAAATATTTGTGTGAAAATTGAACTCCGTACAAGTTAAATGTGCAACTTTTGTGAATGAGTTCCTACACCAAATGAACAATGGATAATTCTTTCACTTATGTGTTCCTTTGTTTGTCAATCAACAAGACGCATATAGCTTCAAAGTATAAGTATTAAGTATTCAATTAGTATTCTAGTTTGCATGATTACAAAGAAGAGAAGAAAAAGAATTTCCAGGGTTTCTGATGTTCACTTCATAAAGGTAAACCATGTACAGGCCAGCAATTTCACCAAAAAAAAAAAAACAAAAACAAAAACAAAACAGGAATGTAGAGAGGGAAGCAGAGGGAGAAGAATAAGGGATCAGGAACTACGTGATAATTGCAGGCAAGTCTAAGCACAAGGTCTCCAGGCCACCATCTACCTCTCTGTCCACTGTTATTATTTGTTTTTGTTTGTCGAGCACAACCTAATAAAAGCATCAATAAGTAACAGAGAAAAAAATCAAATCATACAGTTCAAATGTTTTTGAAGAACAAAATAAAAATAAAAAAACATAGATAATTGAGAATTAATGACATTTTTCATCAAACACTATTAAAAAAACGTCACTAATTTTTAATTTTTAGCGACAATTTAAAAATTGTCACCAAAAAACTGTCACTAATTATAAATTTTAGCGACAGTTTAAAAAAATCGTCACAAAAAACGTTACTAATTTTCAATTTTCAGCGACAGTTTGAAAAATTCGTTATAAAAAAAAGTCACTAATTTGTACACATAACTTATCTTGTATGCTGTAACTAGAAAATGAAACAAAATAAAAATAACTTTGTGCATAATGCAGTTTACCTTGGAAGCAAAGGTCCCTTGTGGCCAGTTAAGAAGCCCTGCCAACATTTGGCCAGTTTGATTGCAATCATCATCAATGGCCTACGGATGAGTCTCCAAGTCAGAAAATAATAATCCATTTTCAGTAACAAATATTTTTGTAACATATTTTTCAAATCATAGATGTAAAGAAATCAATGCACGTATCCCAAACACTAGGCAATCCAAAACTTATTTGAATGATATTCAAGGAAAGAATATTATAGAAAAATTCATAGAATTAGAGGAACTCCACCTATTGGAACTAATGATCAAGGAATACTTGGAGACACATCTACAAAAGCTTCGTATAGGAATCCACAAAGAAATTATCCTATTATTCAAGATATCCAATGAGGATTGTATAAATATGATTTTGCACTTCTCGACAAATATAATCTGTTTCATTATTCTAATCGGTCATCTATTATGGGTAACCAAAAACTTGTTATTCTTAACCCTTGGGCTTAAAAATTCGTATATAAGTTAAGCGATACAATAAAATCTTTTTCTATTCTTCTATTAACTGATTTATGTATCAGATCCCATTCAACCCATGGCTGGGAACTAATGATTGGCTCCGTCTACAAAGATTTTGGAAACAAGTCAATAATACAACTGTTTGGTGCACGTGCATCTTATCGTGGATGCTTATAACAACTTCTTTTTTATGAAAAAATCTATGCCAAAATCTTTGTTTAGTGCAACTTCTACTTATAATTATTAGCTTGTAAGCATAAGATATGGGCCTATTTGGTGCAGCTTCTTGCAAACTGAGCTTATAATCAGAATGCAGAACCTAAAAGCACCTCTTCCCCCACTTGTCAATAATCAGCTGCACCAAACATTCTAGCACAAAATTTCAATATATATATACAAGCAGTCCTATAAGTTGCACCAAACAGGCCTATAGTTCTATACAAAAGTAGCTTAAATAAATTGGAAAACTAATTATTGAGAACCTGGGGAGATATGCTTTTTGATTTATGTTTTCTGATTATCAGCTGATTGCACCTAAGGAGGACTACAAAGAGGGAGCTTTTTGTCCAACCCTAAGCAAATTACAAACCAGAACCACAAACAACACCATGCTTCAATTAATTAAAGAAAAAAAAATTCTCAATTTATATATATACAAAATCACGTGTATAGACTGAATTCCAATTATATATAAACATATAAACTCTGATTTTGAGATTTCAAATCAATGAAGAACCTGTTTTCCAAGAATAAGAAGTTGGGGCTTTTCAACATCAATCAGTGCTCTAAGAAGCTTCGCAACTGAAAGCGGAAAAAGGGTATCTCTGGTATCGACATGAATCCCCCTATCAGCTCCCATGGCGAGTCCAGTTCGGAGAGTATCGACGCACTGTTGAGGACCCATGCTGACAGCAATGACCTCCGAGGCCAGACCCAACTCTCTGATTCGAAGCGCCTCTTCAAGAGCTATTTCGCAGAATGGGTTCATCGACATCTTCACGTTTGTGGTCTCAACGCCTGTCTGATTTGAAATTGAAAGTGTGGAAATTGAGAGTGTTAGAGTTGGGGATTTTGGGGAGAATATGGGAAGGTAGGTGTTTGGGATGTGAGAAAATTTTGGGCTTACCTTGTCGGGTTTGACTCTGATCTTGACGGCGTAGTCAATGACTCGCTTTATCGCCACCATTATCTTCATTGTTGTGTTGGGTTGTTGGTTTCTGTTCTGGTTCTTTCACGGTGGTTCTGGGTTTCGGAAGATGAACAAATGGAAGGAGCAGAGAGAGAGATCAGTGTTGGGATGTGAGAGACGTATGGGACTGCTCCACAGCTTTGTTCTTTTTTTTTATTTTGAGTAATGCTAGACACCCCAAATATTCTACTAAAAGTTTTACCAAATGTCTCACATGGATGTGGGATCCATATGGGACCCACATTGTGTGGGTCCCACAGGTATGTGAGACATTTGGTAAAACTTTTGATAAAATTTTTGGGGCCTCTAGTATTTTTGATTTATTTTTTAAAAAAAAAAAAAAAAACTCCTCCTAATTGAGCCCCTAATTCCACCGTCAATGAAGTGGCTAAGACCTAAGAGCATCTCCAACGGTGTACCAAATGTTTCACCAAATCTGAGTCAAAAAGGGGTCATTTCCTTAATTTGATACTTCGCGCTCCAACGGTTCAACATCAAATCCGTTTCATCAAATTTGCGCTGGGCAACCGGTTGGTTGACCGGCCGGTCAACCGGTAACGGCAAAAATTTTTTTATTTTTATTTTTATTTTTTACCGGTTTGAACTTTTTTTTTGAACTTTTTAAACTTTTGGTGGTCGACCGCCTAGGCAAATTTTTTTTTTTTTTTTTTAACTGGTTTGAACCTTTTTGTGAACGGTCTGAACTTTCTCCGGGGCGACCGGTTGGTTAACCGGTTGGTCAACCGGATGGTCG